GTGCATCAGGCCTCTAGTAATAATAGAAAACTGTAAGTTAATTCTCTTGAGCTAATTATCTTTGAATCAGCAATCCAAAGACAATCAGTGTATGTCAACTGTAATTGAAAGAGAATGAACACAGTGAAATAACATGGTGTTAATGTTCAAAATACATATGACTGGGCTCTAACTCTTGCTTATTAAATCTGAACCACCTGACATAAAATTTGAGAGCCATCTTCCTATATAATAAAAGACTAATATGCAAATAGACCAAACAGTGGAATAACTCAATGCAGAAACTTCCCCCTGATGGTGAATGCATTGCCACAGGGGGAGCGCTGCTCAGCCAGAAGCCAGGCTCATGGCTGGCGAGCACAGCGGCAGTGTCAGGAGCCTCTCTTGCCTCCACACCAGTGCTAAGGACCCCTTGGGGGATGTCCGCCTGCCAGGGACATCCTGCTGGGGAGCAAGCCTAAGCCAGCAGGAGGACATCACCCAAGGGGTTCCAGACTGGGAGAAGGCACAGGCCGGGCTGAGGGACCCCCTCAGTGCACGAATGTCGTGTACTGGGCATCTAATATATATCGGCCAGCTAAGTGTCTGACCAATCAGTCTAGCTCTCAACCAGTCAGATACTCCAACTGGTAGGTTAGCTTGCTGCTGGAGTCTGGCTGATTGGGATTGGGTGAGACTGGCTGGACATGCCCTGGAGCCCTCCCACAGTCCCTCCCAGCCAGCCAACCTCCTGCGGTCCCTCCCCAGCTGGCTGGCCCCAATCGCTGACCAGGCTGAGGGACCCCATCCATGCATGAATTTGTGCACCAGGCCTCTAGTTGTTTAATAAGATTTATTTAAGACAATCCAAATTCCTAATCAGAAAAGCAGAGATTATAGCTGCTTCTCAATATCTATAAAATTAACCTCAATAAATTTCAAAGATTCAAAATAGTAGAGATATTCTAAGACTACAGCATAATAAAAGCAGAAATTTAATTTAAAAAATAAGGATAAAGGGCATCTATGAAAATCCTACAATTAACATTTTGTGCATCAGGCCTCTAGTAATAATAGAAAACTGTAAGTTAATTCTCTTGAGCTAATTCTCTTTGAATCAGCAATCCAAAGACAATCAGTGTATGTCAACTGTAATTGAAAGAGAATGAACATCAGTGAAATAACATGGTGTTAATGTTCAAAATACATATGACTGGGCTCTAACTCTCACTTATTAAATCTGAATCACCTGACATAAAATCTGAAAGCCATCCTATATAATAAAAGGCTAATATGCAAATCGACCAAACAGTGGAATGACTCAATGCAGAAACTGCCCCCTGATGGTGAATGAGTTGCCACAGGGGGAGCTCTGCTCAGCCAGAAGCCGGGCTCATGGCTGGCGAGCGCAGTGGCAGTGTCAGGAGCCTCTCTTGCCTCTACAGCAGTGCTAAGGACCCCCTGGGGGATGTCTGCCTGCCAGGGACATCCTGCTGGGGAGCAGGCCTAAGCCAGCAGGCGGACATCACCCAAGGGGTCCCAGACTGCAAGAAGGCACAGGCCGGGCTGAGGGACCCCCTCAGTGCACGAATGTCGTGTACTGGGCCTCTAATATATATCAGTCAACTAAGTGTCTGACCAATCAGTCTATCTCTCAACCAGTCAGATACTCCAACTGGTAGGTTATCTTGCTGCTGGAGTCTGGCTGATTGGGATTGGGCGAGACTGGCCAGACATGCCCTGGAGCCCTCCCGCAGTCCCTCCCCAGCCAGCCGGCCCCAATCACTGGCCAGGCTGAGGGACCCCATCCATGCATGAATTTGTGCACCAGGCCTCTAGTTGTTTAATAAGATTTATTTAACAGACAATCCAGATTCCTAATCAGAGAAGCAGAGAATATAGCTGCTTCTCAATATCTATAAAATTAACCTCAATAAATTTCAAAGATTCAAAACAGTAGACATATTCTAAGACTACAGCATAATAAAAGCAGAAATTTAATTTAAAAAATAAGGATAAAGGGCATCTATGAAAATCCTACAATTAACATCGCACTCTGTGATGAAAGACTGCATGCCTGTCCCTAAGGTCAGGAACAAAGCAAGGAGATCTGTTCTCAACACTCCCATTCAACATAGTACTCAAGGAGTGAGCAAGTGCAATAAGACAAGAAAAAGAATTTACTTTTAAAGAGGGAGAAAGGACATTTAAATACCCAGAAATTTAAAAAATATATCCTCTCTCAAAATACTTTTTAGTCAGAGAAATCAAAACTGAAAATATATATTTTTTTAATGATCATAAAACCACATATGAAAACAGAGCTAAACTTAAGCTCTCCTCTGGTTAAATTCCTCATCTTGATTGATCCAATGATTCACATCTCAACTTAAATTCAGACTCTCAGGAAGGCCCTATTTGAGGTTGGTTGCTCTATTATTATCTACTAGTGTCCTGATGCACAGGTTTGTGCACATTGAAAGGAAATTAATTAGAAAAAATATTTTAATATCACTATTTGCATCTTGCTAATGAAAAGAAAATAGGATTCTACTGAGTGTCATATCTACCTACTCCCGGACTTCTGTGAGGACCAAATCAGATGAGGCATGGGAAAACGCTTCACAAACATTTGGTTAAACTGTAAAATGTTTGCACCTGGCTATAAAGCAAGTTCCTGGACTGAAGAAACTCCAAGGAGGCTAGTTGCTAGGGAGAGGAAGCCGGGCATTGCTACGTGACATCATTACCCAGTGCCCACAACCACCATTTCTAGCCTGGGCTGGGCTGTGGGTCATGTTTTGCGCCATGGGGTCTTGGCAGCATTGGCTGCGATTTGGTGGGGTGTCACTCCGGGGTGGCGGTGGGGCCTGTGTCCCACTTGGGGGAAGCTGAGTGTTGGTTTGTC